AGCAATTTTAGGCAAAGAAAAACAAACCCTTTTAATTCCTTGGTACTATTATCATCACCAGCCGATGCTGTCATGATGCCAGAACTAAAATCATTCACTGCTACTGCAACACCTGAAATTCACAAAGAAATTCAAAATTACCAAACTTAGATATGCATAAATATGCCATCTTGGTGAAATTTTCCATTATCATACATTATCATATATTAACAAAAGCAATCATACATTTTGTAACATCCTAATACATTACAATACTAAAATGAATAATACTTCAAGTATGTCTTTGCCACCCTCATGTTGTTTTCATATGGATGTTCTTTACATATCAATGTTTGGGCCAAACTCTCAGTTTAAAATTCACTCTTTAAGTAACCAAGACAGAATTTCTCCTTACACTATCAGTACAATATCTAGCAGACAAGTAATGAGAATAAAGAGAAATATCAATAAGGAGATTATTGGTGGATCCAATTCCAAATTCTCCTAATTAACATCATATCAATTGTATTGCAAACAGTAATGAGAATTACTAAATAATGAGATCTTGGGAGTTAAAGAATTAACCAAAATGAGATTTCAGTATGAATTTTTCTATTTCATTTTTAACAATCATAAGGCAAATTTGGTGCATTGCAGTACAGAGACATTGCTACATGTGTTGCTGACCAATTGCACCATTTTGGTAAAGTTCTACAAAAGACACATGGATTAAATGAAGGAATCTATATGTTGATGGTTACACTCAGATCAGCCAAACACCAACAACTAATGTTCCCCTTGAAAAACTCTGTATCAAAAGTTAAAAGGTGTAATATATCATTCACTAATCTACTATTTAAAAAACAATTGAAATTCACTTTTTTATACAACATAACATGGCTTTGGAATCACACACAACTTCCTACTGATTTGGCATTTTGGAACTTGCTTTTTTTGCATGGTGCAGAGTGCAAGTCTAGATTAAACTTGGTGAGAGGTAATTATTTATGTCATCAATCCCTAAAATGCCACAAGTGATGAAGACATAATTTCTCCTTACAATATTAGTACAATATCAAGCAGACAAGTGATGAGAATAAAGAAAAATATCAATTAGAGTATTATCAGCTGATCCAACAACAAATTCTCCAAACTAATATCACAAGAACTGTAAGGCAGACAGTAAGGAGAATTACTAATAAGTGCTGGAAGATGCAGCTCTTTGGTAAATTTTTAGTTGGTTTATTATTGCTATTACTGACCCCATATGTCTCCTTGGTAAGTGGTGTGTTCTCTTCCACAAAATCTCTTTTCTTCTGCGATTCTTCATCAAGATCCGAACCAAGAGAAATAACTTCTGGTTATTTGTATTTCTAGGAAGGCCAAGTCATTCTTGCAATGGTTAAATTCAAAAGAAAGTTAGATCATCAATAAAAGCCAGTGGTGATCTACTGCTGCCTGTATGGCCTCTCATTGTTGTCTGCTTAGCCTGTGTCTGGATTTCGTCTAACAAACTAGTGGCCTAGTACATCAATTCCACTGGCAGGCACTTAATATGGAAAAAGTTAATGAAACCCCTGAGGTCTCTAAATATAATTTGTGCCAGACCCCTGGCAAGCCTCTCCCTGACTTGTATTTATTCCATTAAATGCCTTCCTTGAATAAACACCACCCTCAAACAAACACTGCATCATCATCTGGCTTTAATTCAAAGAATAGACTCAAAAGGCACTCAGCCATCATAACTGAAGCAGGCACAAATCCTTTCAAATGTACTAGTTCTGATGTCAAGAAAGCATATCCAACATATTAGTTCTTTATTCACTTTATGCATTGCAGTTGTATTAACTTGCAAATTGTGAAATTGAGAACAATATAAAACATGACTTTTTAGATGAACAATAAAACATGTGTCTGTTTTTAAAAATTAAAATGATTAGTTACCATACTATTGTTTGGATATTGAATTAATGCCACTCTTGTATAAACAATACCCTTGAATAAACACCACACTTGAATCATGAAAAATTGAGTAATTGCCGTGGCATTTAATTGAATAAATTTGGTTATGAAACCCCTGAGATCTATAAAGAATATAATTAGCATCAGTCCCCCAGCAAACCTTTTCCTTAACTTGTCTCAAATTTTCTGCAGAGCTAATAATGAAAGGCTACTCAAGGGCTATTCAGCAGTTTAACACTCTAACCCCTGACTGACATCTAATTTCTCCTTAACATATCCCCCCTGAATCAAACATTAAGGTCAGGAGAATGAAGAACTGATCACTGACTGAAGAAGCTCTTGATTTTTAGACCAATTCTACATGTCAGCATCTTAGAAAATGTTTAGAAAACAGTATGGAGAATATGCATACTGATGTTAGAGTGTGAAGGGTTAAAACAATGTCTCTCTGTATGCCATAATTCAAACTACAATTATTTATAATTTACAGCCCTGAATGAGACATAAAATGTATGTAATTAAAACAATAATCCAGTGATATCACAGTTTTACTAAATAACGACTTCTTGCTAGATAAAAAAATCAAAACAAAACAAACAAACAAAATAAACCCATGGAAAATTTTGTACCTTGTGACTATGATGTCTGAAATCACCCACAGCTTGTGATAGACTTGTAATAAGACCCTTTTTCACTTTGCTTCTGGCTGGCAGCTATGTAATTAAAAAAAAAAGTGTTCATACCCTACACAGTAAGTGAGCATGAGAAATGCCATAGACAAACAGTTAGCCAATGGTCTCTGAGTTGAAAAGCCAGGCCAATTTATTAATCAGAGCAAGGAGTTTAATAATGATTATCACACTTAGTTTTGCCAAGTTGCAACAGACATGCTGTTACAAAAGAAATCCCCCAGACATATACATATACAATCAGTGAGAAAATTGTCAACACACTACCATTGGAATGGCAATATTCTGGAATAGCATACCAATTATATTCCTTATTTTCAACTCTTCTTCTCATGTACAATGTTTCTTTAACTGTTTTACACCATTCTACAACATTGTCTGGTGGAAGAGCTTATTGCAGTGAATTACAGTTCACTTTTTCTACTCCATTTCTACATACTTCCTTGGAAGTGGCTCAGTGGATGTTGTGTCAACTGATTTTGTCTTAAAAACATTTATGACCACTAAAGATGAAAATAGTAATTGTTGATTTTATGAAACATATACCTACTATGGAGTTTAAACCAAGTGTCGTTTTGCCATGGTCTGCCATTTTACAAATTTTGGGGGAAAAATCACCCACACTTACAGAGATCGTGGCCAAATGCCTGTAAGACTCTCATTTCCTCTTTCAAAAACTTTTGCAAAGGCTGAGTGGCCGACAACAAGTTCAAGAAATCTAAAAGAAATAAAAATTACAACTCTTGAGATGGCAGGGCATGAAATTGTGCCTAATACAAGCTCAAATGCGACTAAATTTTTCACTATGACGACCAAATCCTGAAATTAGTCGCCAAATTGGAAAAACGCGGCAAACTTCCTCGTTAAGTTTGTTTCCAAAACGCGCGCAGCACATCCATCTCGATCGATAACTAGACGCCATCTTGTATTTAGGTGAGCTTGAACGTTGTATATCATCCATCCTAGTGTCCACTTTATAATGAAGGGGTAAGTTTCTAAAGAAACTGTGGTGCTGCGTCGGTGGGAGAGTATAGCAGGTATTACCTGCTAGTGTCCACTTTATAGCACGTTAAAGATCTTATCCCTAACTTAATTTTGGAGGGTCGATCTGGAACGCTGACAGCGTAAAAAAACGTTTTGTTTGTCTTTAAAAATGGCGATCAACGTTTTTTGAATCGGCTACCACTTTGAAGAATTTAGGAGCCAAGTGCCAATCAGAAAAAAAAATTTCACGCCCTGGATGGGCTAATGCAATGTAAACATTTGAATCAATGGTCCAAAGAACTGAGTGAGTGGCCATTGCCAGAGCTAGTCCCAGTATCAGTAAAATAACAACAGGAAGCATTTAACTAATCGCACTGAATGCCAGGCTTATTCATCGCTGATATGCGATGCGTGCCCCACCCCCTCCCCTTGTGACAGTAGCGTCTGAAGGTTACCTCCACTACAAAACAACCCACACACGAAGCATGAAACAAATATTCTTATTCTGGCTGAATAAGGCATCAACAAACCTAAGATTTTGTCTTGTTTCTGAGTTCCAGGGCGCGTTCGCTTGGATGACATGGCGTAATGAAATGGTGGGCGTAAGCTAAAAGATACGTGACTGGGCATTACTGATAGTTTGTACGGAAAGGAATGTTTTTTGTTTTTATCAAAAATTCCTGATTTTTTTGTTTGCTGCTCGTAAAATGAAGAGAGGTATGAGATAAGTTGGTAAAGCAAATAAAAAAAGAAATGATTAAAAAATATTTCCCTCCCCCCCTCCCTGAAATGTTTGAAGTGACCTAATGGCGCTTAGAAATCATATGACGCTAAAGAGTCGAAAAAATATTTTTTTTCTTTTACTTCAGTGTATTTTTATATAAACTTTACAGTTCGGTACTTTCCAATGAAACCGCTATCTCTTACCTAAATTCCCTGACCGGCTGAAACCCGCCACGTGCGCGGTGGTCATGGGTTTTCTTCATCATATGAACTCGCGTTGGTCCAACCATGTTAATTTTAAACTTTCCTTGTAAATGCATGCATTTTTCTGTTTCTATTGTTTTTTTTTGTCCAATTTGCATTTTGTTATACACTTTAAATTCAACTTTGTACTTTGTATTATTCTGAACTGAAGATGACAGAAGAACTGTCGAGACATATTTTTTTAATTTTAAAAGTGTCGTTAACTTTCTTAAGTTGGCTAAATATCTGCTTCTATCCAGACCTTTTACCTAAAAATTTGAAGCTCTTGACAAAGTGAGTCAGTGGTATCCCATAAATCAAGAACCCATCTTTATTACCTTTGAAACTTTGAGCAGAAATTTTCTTAGATGCCACTTACAAAATAAACATCCTTAAGCGCTGAAAAACTCTCACATGCTTTCAACGGATAAAAATGTTTCCGTGTGGGTTTGGCACGTTTTTCAACTGGTTTGCTCGATTTGTACCACAAGGATCATGAGTGGGCCAATGGCTACTTTTGCTCCCATCAAAGTAATAAAATTGACCTCCTCCACTAAAGGAAGGTCCATTCGCATGAAACTTCCAGGATTTTGGTACCGCTCCACCGCAGTTCTTAGCAACCTGTTTGACCAGTTTGCAGTGGATCGATCCCTTCTTCTGTTTCACTATGCTACCAGTGCCTTCCTTGCATGCGAACCAGTTGTTGATGTTGCTCTTGATTAGGGTTTCCTTACCAACGCTACCCCACAGAGCGAAGTCCATGGCCTCATAATGCGTCTCGCTCAGTGGAACTGTTTTGGACACTCGGACGTTGGAGCCGCCGGCTGACCAGGATGGACGCGGGACGACAGCGTTTGATGCAGCTGTGAAATGTGAGTAATCCCTTAAGGTATAGCTGTAAACTAGTGTCCAACCCCCTCCGTCCGTTAGCTGGTCGCAGTAGGCCTGGAAAGCATTACTGTGGGAACCACCATCAGGGTCTATCCAATAGACGCCTGACACGACTGATGGTAATTTCTGTTTGAGCTCCTTGCAAGTTAGAGCTGCAAAGTCCTTTGAGAATCCTTTTGAGTCCAAAAAAAAAGGTAACAATTAGTCAAAGAAAATCACTAAGCTACCCGTTATGAAACATTTAGAAGAAGATTATGAAAAGGCAAGTCAATAATATTAAATCTATTTGAAGGTACACTAAAGATATATGTTGTATTTCTCCAGTGCGTAAGAGACACCTACTTTGAAATTCAAATCGCGACAGTATGACAATAAACGAGATAAAAAGTGAAATGCAAGGGCATGAGGTGAAATGCATACGTACTGATATTCTTGGCGAGATTCTCTTCTCATAAGTTTATACCGATGTCTTTAAAAATAAAAGAAAAATGTCGTACCTATTTTGCTCTGTTCTGCCAAACTGTACGTCCCATTTCTCAATCGTTTGATTATTTCGTTCTTGCAGAGCAGCAACGTCTTGTAAAGATATAGATTGCCTCTTGCATCCACTTCCAACACTCTGAAGCGTCGCTGATCCACCCCCCTGCTCTCGGAGATTATAAACAAACAATCTTGTTAATTTTAAAAGTGTCGTTAATTTTCTTAGGTTCGCTACATATCTGCTTCTATCCAGACCTTTTACCAAGAAATTCGAAGCTCTTGACAAAGTCAGTCACTGATATCCCATAAATCAAGAACCCATCGGTTCTAAATATTTTTCGGTTCTAGAGATTTCTTGAGTAGGATGTATGTATGGGCAGCCAAAAATCTAAGGTAAACTTAAATTCATTCAGTGGTGTAAAAGTTAAAATTACCCTGAGGTCGAAAAGGAAACGAAATAAAAGATCATCAAATGAAACAACATCATTCCAGTGTAAAGATCTTGAATTGATCGATGGCTTAAATAGAATTTTCTTTCGATCCTTTTGTCGAGATCCAAGTTGCAATACTACCGGCTCCAAAGAAACAGGATAAAACTCGTGGTAATTTATTTTTAATCTCAATCATCCATGTCATCTAATTAACAAAGATTTTGTGACAGTATTGATGTTTGGACAGCTGATGACACCATTTGCCCTAAGGAGTTTACAAGGAAAACGCACGATTTTGCACTCAGGATGACTATCAATGAAAATAACCCAAATTTTTTTACAATTTACTCAGACGAGATAGTTGGTGAGGCAAGCAATAAACTAGTTTATACTTTAAGATAATCTTGTGCAGCCTTCTTTTATAATTTTAGATGTAATCAAGCCAAGTGCATTAGATATTTTAATCAAACATAATATTATACCCATAAAAACGTATTTACATTCCACTGACCGATTCTTGTTAATCAAAGAAAAGTTGTGAGTTCCTACATCGATACAAAAAGAAGGGGCATTTGTAAATAACGTTATTATCCGGCTGAAAGAAAATCTCAAAAGCACCTAAAGTTTTAAGTGCAAACACCTCTTTGCAGCGTTAATTTTTTATATATTTTACACTGTCATTTATGAGTTAGTTCGTGCATGAAATGAACATGTTCACGAATTCAGTCGTCGTATGTAAATTTACGACCAAGTCAACTTAATTTTGCGTTTTGATGTACTGAAAAATTAAAGTGTATGTGAAATTATTTCGAAAAAACAGTCGACAGAAGGTAATCATGAAAATAAAACATCAAAAGATGTCGTGCCATTACCAAGTTGCGTCCACCCTAAGAGAATGTGAGTAGCGTGGATGATCAATCGTGATCGAAAAAGTTATGGTTTTAAGTTTTGATTTCGTTCTTGGAGTGGAAAAAAAGGAATTGTCGGTGAGGCCGCTAAAAAGGATACGCGACTACAAGCTTTTGATGATGGTTTGTAAGGAAAGAAACGCTGTTAATTTAAAAGTTTTAAACGTATAACGTCAGTCACATTTAAATCATTCGAATTAGCTAATGAGCGCATGCCTGAAATTGAACACTAATAAGGGAGTGAGGTAACCCGCCTAACCTTGGTCGAAAAATAAAACGTGTTTACATACAATCTTACAACCCCGGGGTGCTGGGGTAAGATTTCTTTAGGTTTTTGTTGCGTTTTCAATTAGGGAGGTTGAGCAAAAAAAGAGAAAGACGAAAGATTAATTTTCGGACACGTATGTATTTATTCATGAAAGCGCTACGCTTTGTGTTACGCTTTGTGTAACGCGGTGTTATGTTACGCGAGGAACCATCGACTTAATATGTTATAAGAAATAGTTTGAAATATGGTCGATTTACAACGCTAAATATTCCGAAATGCGAACACTTTACACTCCTTGAGTGTCCGTTGCGGTTTCTGGTGATTTCTGCCATGAGACGGTTAGGGAAATGTACAAAGTTTTTAAAACATACGTGTTTCACTTTTGAGCTTTTTGCCATGAACGCGAGCTCGGCTAGGGGGGTTACCCCACCTTGAAACGTTTACATGGCAAATTGTCACCCCGGCTGACAGGGTTACCTTACCTGGCAGACCGGGCAACCCGCCTAGGCGGGTCCACTCACCTATCATGTGGGTTGAAATAAAATAAGAAATTATATGGACATGCGGCCGGGTTACCTCACCTACCTGGGGTCCCCACCTCCATGTAAACAAGCCCTAAAAATGAAAGTCCGTAATTGCGCGCGCCAGGGCGTAACAGCCAACTTAGTTCTTTCAAGTTTTTTTTTTTTTTTATTTATGAATTCCATAAATGCGTAAATATTGCAACAGTTACAATGATAAATTGTTCAAAAATTCAATTTAGTTTATTTGGATCTTTGAGAGATGATTCGAAAAGTGAAAAGACTTTCATGTGGCACTTGCTTATAATGGTCGAAAAACAAGAGGAAAAAACAAACCCAACAGAATATTGAATAACACTGTTATTCTGATCCAACACTAGGCCGCCGGTGAGGAAACTTGTTTTAACTTTGCAATACTCTCGTTGCAGCCTCAGTAAATAACACAGTTGTAATATTGAATCAGTTATAATCGAGCCAGGATACATGATTTATCAGATCACGAGACAAAACTCGTAGCATTGTATTATATAACCATCGCTTCAATATTTGTGCAACGTCGATGTATTAAAACAAGCTGTAGGCAAACATTTTAAACTTGTTTGGTTTAGTTGAGGGTCTCTGTGGGGTGATGGGTGACTTTAGACATTAAAAAGTCCGGTTGATTTCTTCTAATAAGATGTTCGAAAGCATAGAAATACAAAAACATCTTGCACTTGTTAATTTCCTTCACCGCAGTGACTTCAAATTTCTAGTGATTTTGCTACCGTGACAGATGAATTATGCAAATTAGTCTGTTAAGCAAACTCTGACTGTTCTATGTCGATGGCTCCCTGTAGTTTGGTCCTGAAATGTTCATACAGGTTTAAATAGCTCAAGCTCTCTAAACTCAAATAGGAAAGAACACAAACCATTTTCTTTAAAAGAGAGTTGCCCGTTAAAACGCTGACCGATCGCTAATCAGTACGATAGTCGATACGTTTTGTTCGTCTCTTGTTTCACATATCACAAGAGGCAAGTGATCAGTTGAAACTTGAAGTATTGACGAGCCTGCATGACATTCCTGCCATCCGGAAGCAATTTTAAACTTCTGTCTTCATAGATTAGTTTTGATCAGGATATATTTTGAAAGAGGAGTGGTTGACAAGGATCTTTTAAGATGCTACATCAAATTTATTCCTCAAATATTGAAGATTTTGTTAACTAAACCTTACAAAAGGCTTTGAAAAAAAAATTAAACCAGATTCTAGTGGTTCGTTTTATACCTAAACTACTATTTTAACTTTACTGATTTCGCTTAACTTTAAAGCCTTACTTACGTCAACATTTTTCTGTGTTTATGATATTGGAAATATAATTTTTGCGTTGTTCAGTTGAAGGTTTCTTTATTCTTCTCTTTCTTACATACAACTTATTACTTCGGGACTAACTCAGATCTAACAGGAAAAGTGTGGGTCTCCGCTTATAAAAGGGACGCTTACTGAGCTGCCAATCTCTAACCTTCGTCATCCTTTTACACTTAATTAGCGAATCACGTTAAGCTACGAAGAGCGGAGTTCGCATACTAAGTAGATACCTTCGAAATGTTTACGCTTTACAAAATCCTTAAATTTCTTAGTCTTACAGTCAAGGTTGGTCATAACTAAAACAAGATTGATAATATAAAAATTGTAATGGAATAACCAACAGAATTAGAATCATACTTGAAAATATATCTTAAGAGGAAATACTCCTCGAAGACTGTTATATAACAGCACAATAAACAGAAAATTCGGAGAACAAAGAGAGTACCCAAGGTACAGCCCCTAAAAGAGCTACGTGCTATTCGTATAAATTACCTGATTAAAATTCGGTGCGGAGGATGAAAAGTACTACTTGTTTACACCTTAAGTCACCTCTGAGAAAAAGAGTTGTGAAGCGTGCTAAATTATACCTGTAAGATAAGACTGCCAAAAGGAATAAGAAATGATCAAGTGGCTTATTATAATTTTTACTGAATGGCTTATGCTGATATACTATTTCCATTCATTTCCAACGTTTAAATAAGTAAAAAAAAACACTGGATAGATATAAATTTTGTCTTTTAACAATATTGAAAAGGAAAGCACAAAAAATTGAACTAGATCTAATTTGGGATAGCTCCTTTTTTAATTTCAATGAAATACGGCTAAAGCATTTTCTCTACTTTGCTCTATTCAATTTATGCATCTAAAAGTCTTTTGGCTCTGTTTCCTTCGAGTGATTCTCATTACTTACTCTGTCGGGGTCTCTTTCTCTGTAAAAAAAAGTGAAAAAAAAAACAGCAATTTATTATTAACTCGATTAATATTTTGGATATGAAGCAAATACAATTATACCAAGCTTAATATCTAAAAATATAAATGGCTAGCACTATATAATATATGTATATGGATATATACCGAACTACCCTTGATGGTAACAAAGGACCCCCGCCGACAGTCAGCGACCAGTAAACCACAGCTACCTTCACATCTACTTCGACTTTAATTTGTGAAATATCTTTTCGGACTGAGTCTTACCTCTGCTTGTCAAACCCGAGTCTCACATCATCTCCAATCAGCGTAAACGAAGCCCACTCAGACACACTGGTAGACTTTCTTTTTCTCATCCACTTCATGGCCTGATGGAGGGATTCACTGGCACTTTCTCCCTCTACAAGGTGTTCGTAGAACCGACTCATCAGCTGCTCTGTTGCTGAGTCTGAAATGGCCCTCAGCGCAACCAACACCGAGCGAGCACCGGATCCTAAGAACGCACGGGCAATTCCTATAACTCCCTCGGCTCTAATGTCACCTCTTCCACTGTGACAGCAGCTAAGTACTACCAGTTTAGCTCTGACTTTCACTCGTGATACATCAGCCATCGTCAACATGTAATCTTCATGTGGTAAGATAGCGTTTCGCCTGTTGGAAGTACTAGGGATGGGGGAGAGGGCAATTTCTCCCCTTTCGGCGTCACCATGGGCAGCAAAATGAATCAGGCTCACTGAACTTATCCGCTCAAGCACCGCCTGCTTCGTTGCTTCTTCTCCTACCAGAGGTAGAACACCCACCAGTCGTCCGACCATCTCCGCTTCCTTTCTCGCACCTGGCAATGGCGGCAGCCAATTAACCTTAGGGTCGCCTATTATCAAGGCACCAGTGTTGCTGTGATAGTCCTCTGGGCTATCTTGAATAATCTTGAGTGTTGTCAAAGAAGGAATGACACGGATCCTATGAGTCTCCGAGAGGTATTCGGCTCCCTCCTTTTCACTCAGTGCAGCAAAGGGAACTTTGTAGAAACTGCGGTCAGGAACGATGATGACTTCAGGCTCCTCAAGCAAATCATAAACGGGAGCAATAAACATTTTGTAACACAAAAATAGACTTGAAATCACTTTCTCGTCCTCCTCCACGAGTAGCAATCTTGCTGAGCTCTTCTTTTCGGGGGAGAGAAGTTGCAATTTAACCATATTTAACGATCGATCTTCACAATCTTTAGTGGGCAAAATACCAAGACTCCGGAAATTATCATCCACAAATTTATCCAAAGGCAAATCTTTGGGCAACCCAGCCTGGACTAGATTCTCTTCTACTGATATTCTTCTATGGTGAAGGACTCCACTTGTCTTTAAGATCCACAAACGCAGATCATTGTGAAAATAAGAAATGTACAGACAAGTACAGTTATTTTTATTTCTAAAAATGTTCTCAACGCCAAACCAAGATTGCGGATTAGCAGAGATGTGCGTTTCAACCGAGTACCTCTCTACCATTAAGTCTGATAGGCCTCTAGCTCGACACAACTCCTCAAAATAAAGAGCATCCCGAGCATTTCCAGTGTCAAAAAGCAAATTGCAAAGCAGCTTATAGGGAAATATTCCTGAGTGCTCCAGAAGTGATGTTTTGAAGTGATCATTGGCGCCCAAGAAATATCTCAGCTCCTCATACTTTTCAATGCACAGACGAAGACACGACATGGTATCTTTGTTTTTATTTTGCAATAAATACAAAATGGCGTATTTTTTAAGGATTTCGAACTCTTTTCTTCTATCTCCAGTATCTCTGGATATGGATAAAAGCTTTCTCCAAGTATACTTCCGAGGCTTCATAATCTCCAACTTCTCTAGACAAACTTCCAAGGTTTGCAAGATCTGCCGCTTTCCCTTCCTCATTACCAATGTCAGTTCTGATGACAAGTGCTTTTTGGAGACACTCTTTAGCCTTGTCGTATTGCCCGAGCGACCAAAACACACAACCTAGGCCTCCATAACATGATGCTTCGCCTTGTATGTCGCCAATTTCGGTTTTGATGACAAGCGCTTTTTGGAGACACTCTTTAGCCTTGTCGTATTGCTCGAGCGACAGAAACAAACCACCAAGGTTTGCGTAGACTGATGACTCTCCTCTTCTGTTGCCAATTTCAGTTGTGATGACAAGCGCTTTTTGAAGATATTCTTTAGCCTTGTCGTATTGCCCGATAACTTTAAACAAGTTACCAAGGCTTCCGAAGTTACTTGCCTCTCCTTGTCTGTCACCGATTTCAGTTCTGATAACAAGCGCCTTTTGGAGACACTCTTGAGCCATGTCGTATTGCCCGAGCAACTCAAAGATAGTACCTAGGTTTCCGTAGTCAGTTGCCTCTCCTTGTCTGTCGCCAATATTAGTTCTGATGACAAGCGCCTTTTGAAGATACTCTTTAGCCTTGTGGTATTGCCCGAGCCACAGAAACACAGTACCTAGGTTTCCATAACATGATGCTTCCCCTTGTATGTCGCCAATTTCAGTTTTGATGACAAGCGCTCTTTGGAGATACTCTTGAGCCTTGTAGTATTGCCCGAGCGACTCAAACATATTTCCTAGGCTTCCGTAGTTAGTTGCCTCTCCTTTTCTATTGCCAATTTCGGTGTTGATGACAAGCGCCTTTTGGAGATACTCTTTAGCCTTGTCGTATTGCCCGAGCAACTCAAAGATAGTACCTAGGTTTTCGTAGTCAGTTGCCTCTCCTTCTCTGTCGCCAATTTCAGTCCTGATGACAAGCGCCTTTTGGAGATACACTTGAGCCTTGTCGTATTGCCCAAGCGACAGAAACACAGTGCCTAGGTTTCCATAACATGATGCTTCCCCTTTTCTGTCGCCAATTTCAGTTTTGATGACCAGCGCTCTTTGGAGATACTCTTGAGCCTTGTCGTATTGCCCGAGCCACTGAGTCATATATCCTAGCTCTTCGTAGTTAGCTGCCTCTCCTTTTCTGTCGCCAATTTCAGTTGTGATGACAAGCGCTTTTTGAACACACTCTTTAGCCTTGTCGTATTGCCCGAGCGACTGAAAAATAGTACCAAGGTTTCCGTAGACAGTTTCCTGTCCTTTCCTGTCGCCAATTTCGGTTCTGATGACAAGCGCCTTTTGGAGATACTCTTGAGCCTTGTGGTATTGCCCGAGCGAGTGAAACATAGTACCTAGGTTTCCGTTGTCAATTGCTTCTCCTTCTTTGTCGCCAATTTCGGTTCTGATGACAAGCGCCTTTTGGAGATATTCTTTAGCCTTGGCGTATTGCCCGAGCGACAGAAACATATATCCTAGGTTTCCATAACAATACGCTTTCCCTTTTCTGTCGCCAAGTTTAGTTGTGATAACAAGCGCCTTTTGGAGATACTCTTGAGCCTTGTCGTATTGCCCGAGCGACAGAAACACAGTACCTAGGTTTCTGTAGTCAGTTGCCTCTCCTTGTCTGTCGCCAATTTCAGTTCTGATGACAAGCGCCTTTTGGAGATACTCTTGAGCCTTGTCGTATTGCCCGAGCGACCGAAACACAATACCTAGGTTTCCATAACATGATGCTTCCCCTCTTTTGTCGCCAATTTCAGTTTTGATGACAAGCGCTCTTTGGAGATACTCTTCAGCCTCGTCGTATTGCTTAAGCAATCGAAACAAATTACCAAGGTTTCCGAAGACAGTTGACTCTCCTTCTCTGTCGCCAATTTCAGTTCTGATAACAAGCGCCTTTTGGAGATACTCTTGAGCCTTGTCGTATTGCCCGAGCGACTGAAACACAGTACCTAGGTTTCCATAACAGGATGCTTCTTCGCTTCTGTCGCCAATTTCGGTAGCTATGGAAAGGGCCCTCTCAACATGCTCCTTCGCCTTTAGGTTTTCGCCAAGTGTTTGAAGCATAATTCCAGACTCTCTGTATAAGACAGACAGCATCTTGCTGAAAAGAACTGTAAAGATGTCGCTGTAACATTGTGGCAGTACTGAATCAAATTGGTCTTTGCTGTTTTGATCGGTGCTATTTAGTAAAATCAAACATTCGCTGCATATCTCAATGGCTTTCTGAATACGATCTGAGTTGAGCAGGAACACGGAAACAAGTAAGGCGATGGTCATGAAAGCTATCATGGCTTCTGTTACTCGGTTTCCATTGCCATCCTCTCCTGTTATCAGGGAAACATTATTTTTAGTAACGCAATACTAAATGATTTGATAATCTGGATTCATAATGAGTTACCACAAACAGGAACACACATGTAAAGTTACAAAAGCGAGCTTGGTCGATTTCACCTGCAAACTTTTTGTAACGAGCTGAAAGTGTTAGAATTCACTATATAGGCTTTAAAAAAATAATAATAAAAGAAGGGACGTGGATAAGTACAACTAGAACACATCAACGGATCACATTCGGTGAAACTTGTAAACTTAATTTGACCTGCACAGATTTTTTGAAACGGACTGTGTGGCTGTCACGCTATGAAAGTCATCTCTTATTCCAATGATTTTTGATCCAGCTGTTTCGTTTGTTCTTCATACAGAGTAACAAATATTGACGCATGCTTGAGTTTGATTAATGGTCGTATGTCGGAGGGTCGCGCCATCAATTAAGTTGTTTTGAAAGGTTGAAGGTTTCTTAGAAAAAATAAGAAAGATTGATAAACCTTTTTCTACAACGTTCTGGGGGCATTTGAAAATGTTGTTCTAGCAGTTTATCACCAGGTAATGAGCTTACTTATCTGAAGTATATGGCTGAAAACGAATCTATTCGTGACTGATGAGGATGATTGCCAGGATTTGAGGTAACAACGGTTTGACAAACTCGGTTTGTCACCTTTCATTTTACTCCAGTTGTGATTTTTGCACAACATGACATGACTGTAAAGTCATAGGACAAAGATAAACAAAACAGCATTTATCTTAACTTTTGCTATGAGAACTTTCCCCATGCATATTTTCTGTAAACAACATTAATCAACGGGGTAAGTTTCTAAAGAAACTTTGGTGGGATATACAATATAACTTGGCTTTACCAACTGAGTTGACAATGTAAATTGGCCATTGTAATGAGTTTCTGAAGGTGACGTTTCGAGCGTTAGCCCTTCATCAGAGCGTTTGATAATCTTGAGGAATGAATATTGTTGTATTACCTGTATTCCACAGAGGAACTAGTAAAGAGTGGTCAGCAGTATCAATATAATGCTTTGTTTTTCATCTGCATTTCTACTTCGTTACAGGTATATGTTTGTAGTTACGTCGAGTTGTCCTCTGCGAAGGTTGATCAATTTTTTTTAAAAGATCACAAACAGAGACGAGATTTCTCTTCGGAATATTGCTCATAAGATAACATTCTTTCAAAGCCTCGCACGTTTCATTTGTCTGAAACGTTTGTTGTTAAGAACATTAGTTGTAAACATCGCCAAATTATGCAATATCTGATTTTTAACTATTTTCGCGAATTGCCCCCATAAAAAGTACAGGCAGACCCGCAGAGATTTTTACATATTAAAAAAACTAGAATATTATAACCAGCTAGGTGAGTAGTTTCAGTCCCAGAATCGGTGTACTTTTGGAGAAATTCAGATAAACGTTTTCCCTGTTTTACCCGATTACAAAAATAAACGAAACAGTACCGAGATAAATAATCTATTGGTGTGTTTACATTTACTCCCAGGGAAAATTAAATGTATCAAAATGAAGACGAATGATGTCACTATGTATGGTTGAAGTGCCAATTTTTAATGCCGAATTTAGCTTGAGATAGAGAAATAAACATTTCACTCTCTTTTGGCGACGTTTTTGTATAAAAATGAGGCCCCAGGCCTCGAACAAGCAGCCGTTGTTCCCATGGCAATGAGAGTGCAGCAACCTTTAAAAAGGGTATTTTTGTGCATCCCCCCCTGAGTGCCTAACTGCATGCAAAATTTGAAAGTTTTCATCTCCCAAGATGTTTGATTCTTACAGAGACTTATTATTAAGCGTTTCAATTCTTAGGCTAACAAGAGACATAACCTTTAACCACAACTGTCTGGAAGATTTCCTGACATTCCGCTTTATGGCATGGAACACTTGAAAATATTGTTGTAGCAAGCTATTACCAAGGAACGAGCTTACTTATCAGATGAATGTCACTGAAAACGAATCTATCCTTAGCTGATGAGAACGATGAACAAGCTGTGGGGCCACAGAGGTTTGAAGAACTCCGGCTTTGTGACGAATTTATTTCATCCGGTGGCGATTTTTGCACAACATAACATGACTTAATAGTCACAGGACAGGACAGGACTTAAAAAAAATAATAAATAATGTATGCATTTACGATAGAGAAGTTACTTATTCCATATGTGACCGTAAAGTTAAAGCTAAAGTTAAGATAAAGTTAGTCTAAAAAAAACAGTACACTGATAATATTATTGACCGATAAAATTATTGACCTCGCAGCTGAAACTTTTGAAAGTGAAACGACAATTTTTCCTACATTCCTAAATTTCCCTCAGTAATGAGGCCAACTTATACCATGATTTTTAAGTGTGTTGTTTCACGAAAGAGATCAACAGCTTTCAATACATCTTGACTAATGTAAGAACCACACGATACGATTCTGCACGTTTTTGATCTTTTAGAATATCGACAAATTTTCTGGTTAAAAATTTTTAGCAGTAATCTAATTCACAAAAGTGTATCTGATAACGTGACTGAAGCAAAGAGATTTTATCATATAAACTACGTTGTTATACAAGGATTTCCAGCCCTGAGAAAAGCAGTAACAACACACGTGAAAAAATACGATATTTTTTCACTAGTGTTTGATATCGCCAATCAGTTGACACGTCCCTCACGTTTGGCGCCATTCGGTCAGGTTGATGAATGAACAGCAAAGCCTTCATCATTCTCAATCCGAGGTCGTTTGTCGAATTTTTTCGGATTATGGCTGCTAAAACATTGGAAAATTCCTATCGCTTACAGATAGTGGCGTTCAAACTTTCCTAGAAGGGGAAGAAAACCAAAATACGATAAGAAAAACTGAAAGTTACGTATTCAGTGGCTTTGGAAATGGCATTTCTTGTGGCTGAGAACGAAAATCGACAACTCGAAGATTTGCTACAGGCCGATTTTGGCCGTGTACATTCTGTCAGTAAGGACTAATTCAAAAACTGAGAATTTTTTACATTGGAAAACTATGCCCATTGTTTGTTTAGGTAGTGATTCAACGCATGTTTTCATCTTGAGTGCGCCAAAGTACTTTACGATTTTTATTCGGGGATTGTCGATCCTTTTATTTTCATTGATGAATTAACGTGAATGAAAGTGAACCTCGCAGTAATGTGCACTACTTAGGCAGTAGTGAAAATAAGGCCTGAAAAAAATTTCAGGCCTGTATTGGATTTAATCATGACTTAGTCAGAAATAGAAAAGAAAAGCTGATCAAATTCAAAGACAATGCCCTTTGTTTAGTATCTCAAATATCCATAAAAGAATATCTTGAAACAATAGCTTTAGAGCCAAACAATGGCTTATTAATTCACGAGGGAAATTCAAACTCGCTGCCATTACAATAGCGAAATTCACGAGGTAAATTCAAACATAGCCGATTACTGCACGAGCGAGAAAGTTGAAAATTAAGCGAAAGAGCGTTTATGTCAAGTCTTACCCTGGGGAGGAGTAGGGAGTTACTTTTTGTTCAAGGTCACTTGCTGCTCAGGGAGGGTCGGTCAAGACACAGAATGACGCAACTGAGAGACTGACAAAGAGTGATGAAACCAAATGAAATTTGTGTGAATGGTAAGAATGAAACTTGTTTGAATTAAACTCATTCCGTGAAACTGGCAAAATCGCATCACCATCGCAAACAAAAAAATCGCTCGTTTAGCCGCGGCTTTAGAACAAGGTCTTGATTTGCGTTTGTTGCGCACTGATATTGACGAAGTTTTTCATCCTCTGGAAAAAAGAACAAACAAAAAACAAAAACCGAGATGAATTTTAATCCTTTAAGAGATGAATGACTGAACGCCGCTGAAGGTTTTATGTACCGCGAAGACGGCATCTGATTTTCCAGACGGCAAGATTTGTAAGACAAGATAAGAAGTCTAATGTCTTTTCACTCTTTTGATCTCAAACGACATTTTCCACCGACGATCTTTATTACATTACGGCTTATTCTGGAATACATATCGGAACATATGGATACTCGTTACTCGCATTCTTCATTGCGCTGTTGCAATCGTCTTCCTGCACCCAAGTATCGACCTTGCTTCAGAAACCCTTCCATCTCACCCGATACTCTTTATGTCCGTCAATGGAACGCACAGCCAGAATTTTTTCAAAATTATCATACGGCAACAATAGTAACGTTAGTTATGCGATGTTCTATTGTCGTCAAAAAGGAAGGCAGAGTAGTTTAAAACTTTCACCTCTTTGTTAAATGCCGCGCACGCCACCAGAGTTTTCACTGGAACTGACTAAAGTAGAACGAAAACCCGCAAATATTACTGATTTTTTTAGTCCAGCGATTTAACTCGGCGTTATTCTTAATTCCTGAGAAGTATTTTCCCAAACGCCAATCCTTTCTTCTATTTTGTTTTACGTTACGACTAAAACTAGATAGTTTTAAAACTATCACCTCTTTGTTAAAAGCCGCGCGCGCCGCCAGTGTTCTCACTGCAAGACTAAATTAGAACATTAATTAACCTTTAAATATCATTTTTCAATCCAACCACCTAAGTTGAGCGTTTTTTAATTCCTAAGTGGTATTTTCCCAAACACAAAATTTTCTTCTCTTTTCTTTACGTTACGAGAGTGAAAGCGTGATAGTATTAAGACTAGCGCTTCTTTGATAAGAGCCGCGCTATCAACCAATGCTATCAACCAATTGAGAGTTTTCAAAGAAGCAGGTAAGGAATATAGTCATCAGTATAATATCTAGTTTCCCTTTTCTTAGTTTTTTGGTTTTTTTTTGTGGTGATTGATGGTGACCATATATTGAATACTGACTCAAAGTAGGATTCAATGCGTTTTAAGCGTTAACAGTCTTAGCCCGACAAAAAAGATACCTCCTGACATTGTGCAATATGGCAGCATTCGAAAAGATTGCTTTAGCAGTTTATTACCGGGCTTATCAAACCAATGTTGCT